GATACAAATAAAAATTATTATTTCAAATATAATAAACAAAAAATATTTATAACTCTCATTTATAGTATGGAACACATGTTCAATTTATAATGATCCACTTCTCACTAACTGGGTAGTGAGCTCTTATTGCAAGGCAAGGCTTTCCTTGATTGGGCCTGACTCGGGCCTATGATCTGTTTGGAAATGTTGGGCTAAAGTTGGGCTACCATCCTAACAAGGTTCATGAATGAGTGTCCTAAATCTCACAACAAAAAATTGTGACCTTATAATTGAGAGAGTGTCCAATAGAGTTTCCACAGAACAGTGTTGCAACTTAAGTTCTCAAAATGATCCGTTACATTGCCACTTATTGAGATGAGTGATGAGTCAATGGTAACTGGTAAAAGGTTAAGTGGTAGCAAATCATATATAGAAAATGTCTTGGAAAACAAAAAATTAAAGATGATGAGGATGCAGGTGAGTTTTTGGAGATACCTGCCTGTGAACAAATAAAGTTAAGTAATCAATTTTTCAAATTTACAATAGAATGTTTGGGATCAAAATCCTAATTAAGAAACGGCGCTTGCTTTTTTTCTTTTTATTGGTGAAATAAATGAAAAAGAACAGAATATACCACATATATATATATATATATTAAGTGCTTCTTATTTTAAAATTTCAATGGATATTAAGCTAGATAAATTCGTTAAGAACCAAGAATTGAATTTACTAATATATAAGTATCATTTTATAATTTAAATTTAAAATTTTAGTCTTAAAATTAATATTTAAAAAAATTAATTTTTTAAAATATAATAACTTGATATAAGAGTATATTTTCAATGTCATATAAAGAGAAATTAATTTTAAAATATGTAAAAATTGATCTGAAGATACCTTGAAAAAAAAAAAAACCAAGATTCGTTAAGTCATTCCATAAATAACATGAAGGAGAACAAAAGACAGGCTTAGAGGGGAAAAAAAAACCCGAAAATTCCATTTTTGGATGAAGATTCGTTTTTCTGTTCTAATTCTGTGGTCTGCTTTTATCATATTTTCAACCATTCGAAACCAATTTTTAATATTTTGTTCCTAATAATTAGGAATGGGTAAAATCAATTTTAAAATAACTGAATTTTTTTTTTTAAATTTTAAGAATTGAAATCAAATCGAATCAAAATTTTTACAAACTGATTGATTTGATTACCAATAAAATTGGTTTGATTTTGGTTTTTACTAAATAAATATTAATTAATTATTTTTTTAATAATAAATTATAATTTATCACATATTTTATTATATTCTATCATATTTATCTTAATTTTAATTTTTAAGAGGTTTATTTTTTGTTTTTGGTTTTTTAAAAATTTAACCAAAATCAAACCAAAATTATTCGGTTAATATCAAAATCAAAAAAATAAAAATAAAAAATCATTAAAATCAAACCAAATTCATTTTTTTGTTCGATTTTCAATAACCCATCGATTGGTTTCAAATGCCTGGCCCTACCTAATGCTTTAATACAATTCTCCGTCAACAACCTCTAGCTCAAGTTCACACGCACGCACTCCCATTTATATATTCATCACCTGTGCGCCCGTCCCGTGTCTCAATTCATCTCGATATTTGCATTTTTATTAAGCGATCGAGTTTAAAGATGGCCAAGCCCGTCATCCTGCTCATGGTTGCCCTGCTTCTCTGCTCCACCCTAACCTATGCTGCACGTCCGGAGCCTGCCTTTTCCGATAATTCTCCAGCAAAAACCCACCTTGAGGTTAGTTATTTACCATATATATTGAATATCTACAAGGACTTTTCTATGATATTTTCACTTATATATGCCCGGGGGTTTTGGCTTTTGATAGGATGAGCCCGTCGAAGAGAGCTGTGAAGGAGTTGGAGAGGAAGAGTGCTTGGTGAGGAGGAGTCTTGGAGCTCATCTTGATTATGTCTATACCCAGAAGCACAACCAGCCATGATTTAATTAGCAGCAAAGTTACATATATATATGTATATATATATCTATGAATTTATGTGGTTGCATAATTGCATAAATTATATATAGTAGTTATATATATATACAAGATTTTATATGTCCTCTTTCAATTTTCTTGTTGATTGCATTTTTTTTTTCCTTTTTTCCTGGAATGCTTGTTTCTTACCAATATCGAGACATTTTACAATAGCACTTCTAATTTCTGCCACTATTATAAATATATTGATTTAACATGAATTTGATTAGTATTGATTAGTATATCTTTGGGTGCCATAATGAAACTGTATGGTCTAAACCTTGATTGTGCTTTGAGATTGAGCTATTTTCTTAGGAAATTAACTATTAGTAGGAAGAAACATGGAGCACAGCCATAGAAGGCAATATTCTTGAGAAAGGCTGTTGGAAGCAATTTCATGTTTGAACCCATATAGCTTGGTTCCAATTCCATGTGCCTTGTTTATATTAGTATTTGTATGTATAATTCCCACTATAAAATGCCTTTTGTTTGTCAAAATCGTTTGAACACAAGGCTTTCAAATAAGAAATTTCAGTTCAAATTATTATCATTTTAAGATTGATGGTTGATAGTAAGAGCTAAAAAAGAAAAGAAAAGAAAAAAAAAAAGAAGACTATTTTTGTAGTCCACAATAAATCTACAAAATAAATCATTTCTTTGACAATCACCCGGATCCTTGCTTCATTCAGTCAAAGGGCTGTTAACTAAATCAACCAAAAAGCTTTGTAAATCTGGTTGTGGTTTCAATACAGACTTACAGTAGATTTAAATACAAGCAACCAACTGCATGGATTCAGTTGAGGAAGTTGACAGTTGAACAATAAATATTGCTGAGAGTTGCGAAGATATGTTTGCCATAAAATGAGATGCCTTGAAAGTTGAAATTGCTCTAATTAAGATATGCATTTTCCTTGACCACAAAGGAATTAAATTCCTGAATTCTCAAACACCTTTCTAGAAGAAACAGGAGAAAATTTAGGGTTTAGCTTTTACAAATAAGAAATGATTTTGAAGCAACTTTTTTGTACTTTTTTTTGTACAACATGATGTGTCACTTAAATGATTGATTTTTTTTAATTCATATGAGACCCATGATATTGAATGCATTCACTTATTTAATAGTATGTGAGAGTTGTATAAAAAAGTGGTATAAAAAAATCATTCCTATAACACCACCCTTTACAAATAAGGTTTGTTTAACCTGTATCCTTAGGGCACAAGTTAAAATTTATTAATTATAAAATTTGTAATTAATTTTGTACAAACTTTCATATCAAATTCGTATGTTTTTATAGATTTCGAGTACAAATATTATATTATATTTTAATTTTATATTTTATATTTTATATTTTATTATAATTAAATCTAGTATAAAAATTTGTATAGAATTAATTAGAGATCTTGCATGTAATGAATTTTAACTTGTGTCTACAGGCATAGGTTAGAAAATTCCTTACAAATAAATGGGACCATAGGCCACCCCAAGCTTTTGAATTCCCACCAAAATTGAAGTTTAGTGCTGATATATAAGTTGAGAAAAAGTGCCTATAAAATATGAATTTTGCCATTTTTTCTATTTAAGGTTACAAACATTTAATGTTTTTAAATTATGCAGTAAACTTTTATTTTTTATTTTTTATTTAAGAATATAAATTTTGTTGTTTTATTTATTTAATGATACAAATTTTGTTTTCTTCTGACCAAAATTGTCATTTGCTACTTTGTTATTATCATCTAATAAATCTTTAAATAGAAAAAACACAAAATTCGTACTCTTATTTTAAAAATGTAAAAAATTACCACTTGATTTAGAAACTCAAAAAAATTTATATTCTTAAATAAGAAAATGACAAATTTGTATCCTTATCTCCCCCTTTTCTCCTGATAAGTTAGTTGAACATTTATCTATTAGTGGCATGGTTACAATGCGTAATTATTGACACTAAATTTCATTATTCTTGATGAGAATGAAAGTGTGATTTAGTAGTAAGTATATTGAGGGTTTTAATACTGTAATAAATATATATTTTTTATAAATTTATATTTAAAAGATAAAAATTGATTTTTAATTTATTAATTATCTAGTCAAATTCATCTATATAGTAATGATATTAAAATTAATGTCAATTTTTATTTTTTTTATATAAATTTATGGTGAAAATATATTCTTAAGAGTACAAGTTTGAAACCCAAATGTTAATTGTGGAAATAACACTTTACTAGTATTATAGACCACCAACTTAAGAGGCTCAATGTTTGGCTCAAGTCACATATAAATAGATGATTGAAATAACTAAAAGACTAAGAGAGATTTACCTTTTACTATGCAACTCAAAAAAATAAAAATGGAAAAACACTTTAGCTTCATCGCAGATCCTTAATTTAGCACCATATAATTGATTGTCAAATTATAATGTGAATATGCTTTCATGGTCTTTACTTAACGGCTTCTGGTCAAAAAGTTACAAATTTCTTTTCATGGACCCTACTCTTGTGCTTTTTCTAAGGTAATAGCCAGCAAGTTGCAGTTGAATATGTACTTTGTGTGGTCCATGCCTGAGGTTGCACATGCTGTTATAATCATATCTTGTAGCCCTCTGGTACTTAGTGGCATATAATTTAATTGGGTAAAGCTGATTTCCGATGTTGAGGTTGCTAGTCACTTTTGAATACTTTATAATTTTAGTCAAAGTTACAAGTTTTTCTTGTAACTGATGAGGACGGGTTATACCCTAGCAATTTGCTCCCTATTCTAGACACCTCCCCAAGTTAGGGATAACAATTTGATCCGATTCTCGCATGACCCCGCAAGGAATTTTTCCTATTTTATTAATTGTTGGTGGGGAATGGAGATCCCATGGAGAATGGGGGAGAACAAGGATGAGAGGTAAAATCTGCTCCTCATTAAAAGTTCATATGAAAATCTCCATCCCCATCATTCACGGGGACAATGAGAGACTCCCGACCCTACGGAGTCTCGTTCACATCCTATCCCCAGCCCTTGCTGCATTCAATTCTTAAACTAGACTTTGCTAATGAGACCAGTGTGGGGGAATTGATATTGTCAGTCTAGCCCATCTAATATGGGCCTTGGGAATTTTCTAAATTTATAAGGCCCTTTATCAATATTCTTAGTTAAAGCCCATAGTGGAACAGAATCATTTCCCTGAGTAAAGTCTAATCCTCCCGCCAGATTGCTGCTTTGTGAAAATTGTCATTAGAAGTTCTCAGTTCCAGGAAAACAAATCCTATATGTATTTCAAATAATTAAAATTTTGAGATTTTAAATTAAAAATTAAAAATTTTAATTTTAACATGAGTAAAAAGGGTCAGAGGATAAAGAAGGCTACATATTTCTTATTATATAGTTCATCATCAAATGTAAAAAATAAATAAATAAATAAAAATCTAAAGAAAAAAAAATCGTTAGTTGTTCTGCTGTTTCTGGTTAGATAGGAAGTAATGGGATTGACCTCAGTTAAGTACAGAACTCTTTTCATTTTCAGATCTGTTGAGTTTGCGACAAGCAATTCTTGGATAGAAGCACAATAATAAACAGTAGAATATAAAATGAGGGAGGTATGGAAGCAAATGACGTTAAAACCGTCACAAAAGGGAGTGCATACCGTGCAGGGAAGACAAAGTGTTGGTCTTAAATGGTTAGCTATGTAATCTTTTATTTTTCATTTGATTAATAAATCTTGCATTTCATATAAAAAAAAATTAACATTCCTGTTGGGATTAGGCCTAACACCCTCTTCGGGCCACATGCAGCAGGCCCAATTATACACCCATTGGCCCAAGAGGAGGAGACATGCCCACGTGGGTAGTAACACGTGGACCAACCGAGTGAATACATGTTTTAGCTCATGTCAGCATTTGGGGTTATAAATACCCCACAATTACCTCCATGCAAGGTATGAACTCTTCTACGTCTCTCTTTCTGCAATTACTCCTTAAGAACACCTCTCTCTAGAATATCGAGTATTGCTGACTTGAGCATCGAAGTGTTTTTCCCGAGGAAACACCCTCGAGATTTTCAGGTGTAGAAGCAGCTGAGGACTTCAACAATGTTGGATTGCGAAGCTGTCCAAACATTTTGGCACCGTCTGTGGGAAGCGAGCAAGAAGCTGTGTAACTTGACTTGTTGAAAGACAAAATGGTTCGAACCTTTACTAGAAGTCACCCTCCAAGAAATGAAATGGACGAACAGAAGGACACTCAACTATTTGATATCGGCCTGGATGATTTTAGACCAATGCCAAGAAACCTTTTTGTAGGGGGAACCGAACAGGATCAATTAAGTGGAACAAATGATGATGAAAGAACACCAACTGGGTATGCAACTCAACCTGAACAATTCCAAATTCCAACAGGAACAAGGCAAAGACATCTCAGACCACACAATTCACAACATGAACGACCTGAAAGGTCAACTGAGCCTGCTCGGACAACCAAGCTCGAAGAGAGAACCAGAGTTCTCGAAATGGCAATGGGTAAAATCCTTGCCCATCTAATCCCTGATGATCCACTAATTCCTTTGCTGAACAAGGAGGCACAGTCAGCTGATGTTGTTATAACTTGAAACTCCCTCGCTTTGAGCAATATAATAGTACCGACCAAACCAAGGGGAAGTGGGAAGTTAAATAACGAGCCTAGCTCGTCCAAACATAGTGAAGAACTGATGAGGAAGAATGCAAACCTTGAAAGGCAGCTACGGGACGTACAGAAATCCATTGACGAGCTGAAGAGTCCCAGGTCGCACCAACAGACCCTGGACTCGGATAGTGCCCCCCTAAACCTATCCATCACAGCAGAATCATATCAAGAGGGATTCAAAATTCCCCACCTGGAGACGTATGATGGCTCGGGTGACCTAAATGAGCATCTGCACACCTATCAAGCCATCATGAGAATCCAAAATGCCAATGATGCCATGATGTGCAAAGTGTTTCCGGTGACATTGAAATCAACGGCCAGAAGATGGTATCATAAACTCCCCAGACACTCTATAGATTTCTACTCTCAGCTCGCTAAACTATTCTCTAACAAAATTGCGAGCCAAAGAGAGATTAAGCGTACAGCGACCGAGTTGATGCAGGTTCATCAGAAAGAAGGGGAATCTCTGAGGGACTACATGCAGCGATTCAATAAGGCTACTTTGGACATTGATAACGTCCTCGATACCATCTGCTTGTCTGCCTTGCTGCATGGTTTGAAGCGTGGTCGGTTCCTAGACGACCTGCTAGAAAACCCACCAAAGACGAATTGCCTCTTCCACCTCGCTACTTTATTCCTGATGTTTTTGAAGAGCTGGCTCTTCTCCCTCCTAGAAAGGTAGTACCACCTCGCACCTCTGGAGTTTGGACACAGCCGGCATTAGAACAGCGACATGAACACTATCGCCTTCGCAGGTATCTCCAACCTCGCACACAACAGCATAAAGCCTATGATGAACCTTATGCTGTTCGGCATCAGCTGCGTCAGAGCCAGCTCGTAATCCGCCAGCAGATCGAATATTATCCCGAGCAAGGGAAACCGCAGGCCGGCATCCAAGTGATCCACGTACACTGGTATCCAGCCCGTCTATGACACTGTGCACGCCCTCTCATTCTTTGCGCCTGCTCAGAGCAATATCATCCGGGGAATGTGGTACGCCCTCACCATCTCCTCCAGTTTCTTGTACCCACTTATTGAGGGCACGCTGTCTGCTACTTCATGATGAAGCGCCACCCTGAATCTAAATCCAACGGGCAGGTCCTTGGGCGCCTTGCATAGGTTACTCAATCTGCCCGTGAGTACCCTATTTTCCCATTCTCCAACCACGGGCAGATCTGGGTTATTGCCAACCACATCCCCTGTCCCTTCTTTGCGGCCAGGTGTCTCCTCAAAGGACGAGCTGCTGGACAATGAAGTATGGTGATCGCCACCATTGTCCTTAGCGCTCAAACTGGCGTTGCTCTCAGGCGTTAACGTTTCCAACAAGTCTTGCAGCGCCGACGGAACTATCATTACGATAGGCTCTACAGATATTACCCCCTCCTCTTCTTCCTCTCTGCCCTGGTTACCTCGTAGCTCTCTCAGTTCTCTAAAGAAGTCCATTTTTTTACCTTGGATTGGTGTAGATGTTGCTCAGGTGACGGTCTGGTGGTACGTTCTTCAGACTGTAAATGTTTTGCTACAAAGAATATCAGAAGTTCAAACACGAGTAAAATGGAAAATGGCATAACTGTTTCCCTTTTCCATTTTCTGAAATAGTAGCTCCAGCATTAATTGCCGTACACGTGTCCCTAACGCACCAGTTAGCATCCCGCACGTGGCAGGCGCTTAACCCCTTTTCGTATAGTGTGCACCGGCTTTAGCTGTCACATCCTTTCAAATGCTGAGCCAGCATTTATTGCAAGGAGGCAAAAGGATATCTGCTATGGACAGAAGAATACCAAACGCCCTAAGCAAATCTCTTCAGAGATTCGCCACAATTTAAGATTTAAAAAATCTCAAGGATCATATCGTAACAAATCTCAAGGATCAGATTGTAACAAATCCAAGATCTCCTCAGATATTTGCCCTAATTCAAAATTTGAAAATCTCGAGGAATTAGCTCGCCAGATTGCCACCAAATCCCTCATATTTACGCTATATCCCGGAGATCTACGTTATAGTGACGACTGAGGTCGCTTATTTCAGCCCGTCTGGGTTGATCGGTTCAGCTCATTCACTATCTGCTCACCTTCGCTTTGCTACAGAAAATCCATTATGCAAGGTCGCCCTTGCGCACCTGCTTAGCTCGCTGAGTAACGCCAACTTCCTCACGCCTGCTCGGTAGGAAGTCGACATAAACATGCACATCAGACCAGGAATGGTGGCTTCAGGCTGCCCAGATCGATCGTGCGTGAGGTCGGTCATGAACCGTAGAACGTCACTCCTCATCCCCTAGGGTAAAACCCAGTTTGTCAACCGAACACCGAGGGGGGAGCAATGTTGGGATTAGGCCCAACACCCGCTTTGGGCTACATGCAACAGGCCCAATTATACACTCACTGGTCCAAGAGGAGGAGACATGCCCACGTGGGCAATAACACGTGGACCAACCGAGTGAATACATGTTTTAGCTCATGTCAGCATTTGGGGCTATAAATACCCCCAACTACCTCCATGCAAGGTATGAACTCTTCTACATCTCTCTCTCTACAATTACTCCTTAAGAGCATCTCTCTCTAGAATATCGAGTATTGTTGATTTGAGCGTCGGAGTGTTTTCCTCGAGGAAACACACTCGGGATTCTCAAGTGTAGAAGCAGCTGAGGACTTCAACAGTGTTGGATTGCGAAGCTGCCCAAACAATTCCTAATCTCCTATGTTTCTTTTTGCATCAATTTTAGTTAGACTTAAAGGTTAACATGCAATTTTTTATTTTATTTTTTACTTTTTTAACATTTGATGAGTGAGCTATATATTAGGAGATATCTCATTCGTTTTTTTAACAACTTGTTTGGTTTAAAAAAAATAGGAGATGCAAATAAATTTTCTCATTTAAATAAGTATGGAAGTTGAGCAGAGGTGTAGTGCCTTCTTTGGAACAATTCAGTTGAGACTACTAAGGGTGCAAGGGTGAAGTGGCAATCTGTCTGCACGCCTAAAAAAAGGGTGGTTTAGGTCCTAAAGGCCTTAAGCTATGAAATATTGCTTGTATCATGAGGTATATCTGGATGTTGTTCTCTCATGCAGGAGTTATATGGGCAGCTTGGGTGCATGAAAACTTATTAAGAGGTTGTAGTTTTTGGACTATCAAAATTCCAATGGATCCCTCTTGGGGGCGGAGGAAATCCTTAAGCTAAGGCAAAAGGCTAGACAACTTGTAAAACATATTCTAGGTGATGGCAAGGATATTTTTATCTAGCACGATAACTGGCATCCTTCTAGGCCATTGATTGAGGCTTATGGGGCTAGAATAGTGTATGATGCTACAATACCTTTTCAGGCAAAGCTTGCTGTAGATGTTCATGGGAACTACTAGAACTGACCGCTTGCTCGCTCATTGAATTTAGTTCAGATACAAGCTGCTTTGTTTGATAATCTATATCCTCAAGAAGGAGTAAGGGATATTGTGGTTTGGTTACCTTTGACTTTTGGTAATTTTCAAATAGGGAAGACTTGGAACTAGCTAAGGGAGAAGCATATCAAAGTTCCATGGTCAAAGTTAGTTTGGCTCTTTGATTCTATTCCTAAACACAACTTCATTTGCTAGTTGGCTATGTTGGACAGGTTAACCACCAAGGCAAGACAAAAGCACTAGATAGTAGGTATAATTGATACTTGTACTTTATGTAGTGTAGCTTCTAAAACATCTGAGCACCTATTTTTTAAGTGTAAATTCTCAGTACAAGTTTGGCAAAATCTATCAAGAATGGCTGGTATTCCCTTCTTTGATTCATGCTCTAGTTTGTTGGTTTGGATGGAAAAGAGAATTGCTAAGAGGTTGTTGCATATAACTTTGATTAAGCTTGCATGGAATGCTGCAGTATATCACTTGTGGATGGAGAGGAATCGTAGGATACACCAGCAACTTCTCCATCTGGAATGTGTGATTGTCACAAATGTTCAAAGGGATGTTCAAGATAGAATCTTAGACTTTGCTAAGCCACACTCTTCTCCCTTCTCTCGATAGATAGCTTTACATTGGGAATTGGAAAATTTTGTCAAGTAGAGTTTTTTCTTCTTAATAGATGAGCTATTTGCCTGTAGACTAGTTTCTAATTGTTCCTATGTAGCAACCATATATGGTTGTTAGATTGTACTTTGAAGTATTATTGGATTAATAAATTTCACATTTCATCAAAAAAAAAGAAAAAAGAAAAAGAAATGGGAGAAGTTTGCTTTTATTTTCTAACTTTAGCATAAACAAACGAAGAAAGAGAAGAGGAGCGAAGGGAAGCAAAGGAAAATCAAGAAATATATTATCTCCCATTTCCTCTCCTCCATTTCTCTTTTTGAACATAAATAGGATGCGTCATAGTTTTAAAGTCTCTTTCATTTCTCTTAAACCAAATAAAGAGTAAATATTAAACAAAAGAAAAAAAAAAGAGAGAGTAAATATCTCACCACATATTTCAAATTTTGAATATAAATTTTTTATTAATACGAGGTGTTTAAGTCTCAACTTAGTTGAGATACTCTTTAAAAGCCTAAAACAAACATGTCAATTGTAATTCAACTAATATAGTTCATAAATATTGCTCGTCCTTACTAGATACTTTAGAGCCAATCTCCCATATCAATCTCTTCTTGCTTCATCTACATAAAAATTTGAAATGTGGATCGAAATATAATATTTGCATTTAATTTAAAATAAAAATATTGTAATTACAATGTTAGTTAACATTGTAATCTTATAACATAATATATTATTATATAATTAATTTTTTCATTTAAAAATTTATTATAATATTATATGTATTTATTAATTAATATTATATTTTATTTATTTAATATTATATTATGATTATAAATTTATAAATTTTCGTAATACTACAACCATATAACATTGTCAAACTTAAAATCATTTCACAACACATGAGGTACTTTTCCTTATATTTTACTCAAAATATAAAACTTGAAATAAATGGATGATTTCTTTCCTTTTTTTTGTTGTTTTGTAATACCTTTTTTTCATTGTTCGGTGGATATTTTTTTCCAAATTGTCAAATATAGCTGGATAACAGCCTCCCTCAAACATGGTGTTGCTTTCTTAAGCAATCCAAAGAAGAAAAATCCAGCTTGTCATCAAAAAGAAAGAAAATCCAGCTTAATCCAGACATAAATCCTATGAAAATTCAACAACTCCCAAGGCCATCCTGATCTCGACACATCAGCATATCTGAAAGCTGACTGGCCTCTAAGATGCTGTCCAAGCCCTCAAGATCTCTTACGTACCCTTAAAAAAGGGGGCACGCGGTAAATTCCCTAGCCTCACAATCCAACACGTGTTGCTTATCTTGAGAAGAAGCCGCCGCAGCCTCCACACCATGAAAGCCATCCACCTGTATTCCTTCACTTACGTGGCAAATCGCCATAGATATTCTCCCTCCTAACCATCAACCCCAGACCAACACGACGTTATTTTGAGAGGAAAACAAGAGAGTGTGTAGTGCCAAACAGGGCATCAAGCTTGGGTTCCCAAGGTTGGGGGGAGAGGAAAGAAATTTCCCGTGTTATATATTGACTCTCCATCTGTTTCGGTTATACGTGTCTCCTAATTCCATACCAACAAAAAGTTCTATACTTAGCAAAAAAATCAAAAGGAGAAAAGAGGTCCCATCACTCTTCATTCCCATGCCGCGCCCGTTTGCCTCTGCATCGAATTCTCAGTTGTTGTGTTTTTCCTCATTCCGTCTTCTCAAATTCTCAACACCAAATTATCATAATTAATTTCCTTGCAGCACAGGTTTCCTCAGAAGGTGAGGCGCTGAATTTTCTTTTCAGGGGTTTCCTGTGAATGGATTAGGTTTTTCAAACTGCGCGTTTGGAATTTGTAGAAAATTCAGAATTTGGATTTTTGGAACTAGAAACTTTCCTCTCAAGCTAATTATATAAGCCAAGTTGGAGTCGGACTTAGTTTTTTTCTTTATATATAACAGTGATGTTTCCAGGGATTGCAGAATTCTGCTGATATTGAAGCTCTGCAAATTTCGAAGATGGAGATTTGTTACAAGCCTTATGTGGATCCTGAGTATGAATCTTTGTTGGAAAGGATTTACCCTCCCAGGTAATCTACACACAACTCAAATTCATTCTTTCCTCTTTTTCTGTACGTACCTGTAGAAACATTTGATGGTTTAATTAAATCTGTTGGGTGTTGCAGGGTTTGTATCGATAACAAAACGTGCCAAGATTGCACTCTTGTTAAGGTTTGATCTAAATATCTAATCATCAGTCTTAATTAATTGTTAGAGCAATATTAAAAGCAAGATTATTGTTTTCTTGTGGAACCTTTTCTAAATGTTGTAGAGTTTAATATTTTGCAAGTTGGAAGAGGTTCCGCCTATAGATTATAGATACCATCATCAGCCGTTAAGCATCAAGATTAAGTAATTAAACATGGGATTACTTATAATATACTATTACTATTTAAATATATTAGTACTCAATAGTTGATTAAAAGGGCATCAATCCCAATTCCCATGTCCCCATGTCAGCATTTTTTTGTATTTTCTTTTGCTTTTAATGTTGGGGAAGCAGACTCTATTCATGCATGGTAAATGTTTAGAAAACCATCTGGTTTCTGCTTTTTGTTTGGTCCCAACTGAACTGATCACATGATTCAACCAGGAACCAGAAAAGTTATACTTGGGGCGACGTCCCAGTTGACCTGTTCAGTTCTTTTTTGAAAAAATTTACACAGTTTTTAAAGGGAATTAAGAGCTTGAAAATGACTTGTAAACGCAGGTGGACAGTGCAAACAGGCATGGGATATTACTCGAAATGGTCCAGGTTTTGACAGACCTTGACCTGGTTATATCCAAATCATACATTTCTTCAGACGGTGGATGGTTCATGGACGGTCAGTA